TTGTATGCCGATAACGAATGAAATAATTCATATCAACATTATTCATTGTTTGATTTCTGAAAAAAATCACTACAAATCATATATCGACACCATCTTTGATTTTTATAAAACTGAGAGTATTAACTATTTTTTTTTGTCTCATAATACAATTTTTTATTAAGATTATCATAGAAAATAATATCAATTTTCGAGAATCTTAAGTTTTGTTATTTTATAAATATATCAATCTAATATTTTCTTCGAATTATTATATCAGAACAAAACGAACAACATTCTTTATGATCTATGATATAAGACATTATTCATCTTATTAATAAGTAAATTGTAAATGGATTGATCAATATTGTTTTACTTTTTTTTTTTTTTTATTATCATAATTTAACAACACAACTTAAGAATTTATACACCATAAAAAAAAAAAGGTTTTCTTTATCAATCAAGTTTTTATTGATTTATTTATTACTTATAGACAAAAAGAAAAAAAAAGATTAAATCATAATAAATGAAATTTAATATGTATTGTATAAAACTTCAAAAAAAAAAAAATTTTCCATTTAGTTTTATCTTTCTGTTAGACTTTGCCCTTGTCTATCGACGAAATATTCATATTGTTTCGTTCGAAATAAATTAACATTGACCATTTAAAAATGATGTATTATGTAAATAAAATTATACATATGAATGCGGATTCAAAGCCATTATGAGTAAACATATATAATATGTATTTTAATCATATGTTAAAAACTAGCGAAAGTAACGAATTTCAAACAAAAAAAATTGATTTGTATCAAAGAATTTTTTTTCTAAAATTGAGAAATAATTATCGACGAATTAGCTTCTCAGATCCATACACGGCTAAACTGTCAGATAAAAGTATATGTCCATTTATGACTGATCAGTAAGCCATGTAACGATCAACGAAAGCAATTTTTTCGTGTGAAATAATCATCAATATGTATATATAAATATATACTCGCCTGATCAACTGAGCATCGTCAAAAGCTAGGTTTTTTTTCGTCCGAAGAGTCTACTGTTGCTTGTCAGGACTGTAAACGCAATAGCAAAATAAATAATTGCTTGTGACAAAGGCAACGACTCGTTTTCTCTTTTTCAGCTATAAAGATATCTTTCTACTATTCTCGTGCTTACAAGCATATAGAACATGACCTTCGAGCTTCTTTCTTCTCTCTCTCTCTCTCTCTCTCTCTCCTTGGTTGTAATTGCATATGCATCTTGTTGCTTACGCGCACATACTGAGGTGGTGACAAACATACGAAAAAAAAAGTAACATCCACACACTCCAATAGTTATTCGTTAGGTTTTTTTCTCTCTTTTTCTCTTGCCTTCTTTATATTTTTTTTTTTGAAAAAAAAACGAGAGAGAAAGAGAAGACAATAGTTAGGCGATATGTGTACACACATTGGTAATATTCAAAAAACTATGAACAAAATTTGACGAAATAAAACAGAACACAAAAGACAATTTTATATAGTCTCTATATGAAATATTCGAACAGCTGATTATGCGACGACAACCATCACTACTAACAAACATTCAAACATACATACATGCAAAAAAAAATGAAACTGTTCTTAAAGCGAATGGCTCACGTACTTAAACATAAAGAAAGTATTTGCGTCATACGCTTTAGGCGTTTATTCTCTTTTTTCTTTTTTTTTTTACGTTTGCATATTCGTGTGCACGACTTATATTAAATGCAATCATTTCTTTGTCTCTTTTCTTTTTTTTTTCGTGCTTTTATATTCACTACTTTTCTTTTATACTCACATGCTTTGTGTATATACGTCCAAATTTCGTTTTTTTTTTGTCCTCTGCTTTTTTTCTTTCTCATTTAACACAGTGATGGCGACACTCGAATTGAGGGATAAAATCTTACCAAAAGAAGGAAGAATGTATATGCCTACATAATCATACACAGCAGTAGACAAAGAACCTTCGAAGTTTCTATGTTTTTTTTTCTGCTTTTCTCTTATTCAAGGTCAACATACAGATAGAAGACCTTCGACTATTGTTTTATATATATATATATACTTCTAATATATTCAACTAAGTAAATATCAAAATCCGAATACGAACATTCTTTACAATGAAAAAAAAAAAAGATTTTTTTTTTCGACTTGTAAATACATCAATCAAATATGTTTTATTACTTTTGAATACTTACAAGTAGTTTATAATAATCAAAATATCAGTCAAATTTCTTTTTTTTTTTTTTGTTGCCTCAATCTTATTATCATATTGTTGCCAATAGAACAGATAATATTGATAGTTAGATATACAGAAAAGATGCAATCAAAAAAAAAAGCAACAACAACAACAACAATCATCACTTTGTCACATCGAACATTTATCGGTAATAATAGAAATAGTTGTATTGTGCATAACTTATTGCTATCGATAAATTGTATGTCTATATAATATGATGCAACTAAAGAAATAGAGAATGACTGTACAAAATGCAAAATGACATTTGCATTTCCATTAACGAGTCCATGTAACAACCTTGTTTCTTATTCATCTCAACAGCTGGCAATACATATAGACAACAGATATGTATGTAACGAGTAGTATTGACATACAGTCACATCATCTTTTGTTATACCAAATGGCTACTTCTTGTTAGTTTATGATAAGAATGTGTCTGTATCTGTCTATATAGAGATAGGTTTCTATATCTTTTCCTATCATTATCAACCCTAAAAAAGATTTGTTGATAGGCACAGATACATATCAATAATATCTGTCATTGCGTAGTTGTTGAATGAAAAAAAAAAAGAAATATTTGGCTGATCAGTATGATGATGACAACTTGATGAAGAATCGAGTTACTTTTTTTTTAAATAAATATGAGACAATTTATAGATACGCAAAAATATATGTACGTCTGGAAGCAATTTATCAAATGACTGATAATTGTTTCGTCACACTGTATATTTCTACGCATATTTGTATTCTTTCGATTCTTTTTTTCTTTTTAAATAGACTCTGATAACTATCAAATAGAGTTGTTATAACACAATCATCTAGACAAATCTCTGCCTTTTTGCTAGATAACATATACACGTTTGTCAACTATATTATTCAAATGGGGATATTCATCTGTCATATATCGCATGCAATAAGTGACTAGACTAATGTAATAACAAATATCAATCATTCTATCATATGCATTCTATCAATATAATATATATGTATATATAATAGACTCGAAGAAAATGCTTATCAAATTAACTTTTTTGTTTCACTTGTATCTTTTTTTTTCATTCAGCGATATTGAATAAAAGTAAAATAATTTGATCATAATCAAAATAGTTTGTTTGTTTTTAAAATTAATATTGATTGTGTTTCATAAATAAGATTTATTAAACGTATGAATCAAATCTATCAATTTGATTGTATATATATATATCTGAAGTTAGTTCATCAAATAATAAAATATGAATTTAACTACAAGGTGATTATCATTTGTTTATTTATTTTTTTCATATGTATTTGAGACATATGAAAATTTCTGACGATAGTTTTGAAAGAAACAAATATTTATCATCTATTGACAATGATTGTATAAGTTTTATTCTCTATTTTATTATACAAAGAAGATCAAATCAAAAACTTAACATCTTAATCAGGTTTTTGAGGATTATATACTATGTTTAATGTATCAAGATACTTTAATTAATATAAAAATTATATTTGATCGATAGAATTTAATCAGTATCAATTATTGATAGATTTTATAAGAGAATATAAAGTATGATATAAATAAATTGATCTATTAAATCTAATACTCTCTTTCGAAAATAACATTTTATATAAAACTATATCATCTATTTATAGTATTCAAATGATAGATTATATAAACAGTAACAATAAAAATATTTTCAAACGCTTAAATCTCACTACTCGACAGAATACCTTATCAAAACACAAAAAAAAAGACCATACCGGATCACTAAATTTTGTTAGACATTCACAAAAACTACCCAAAAAAAAGACAAAATGATATGGTTGTTATGAGTTTGAGTAAGATCTTAGTAATGTGAAAATCGAATCATCTTTTTGTTCGGTATTTTTACATGAATCGATAGACCTTGATGAGCTCTACAAAACTGTCTATATTAAAATTTTTTTAGAATTTTCTTCTGAGAGAAAAAAAAGTTTGCATGCTTCATTTGTTCTATATGAAAAGTCAAGAATCTTTTTCTTATACGATCAAAGGGTAAAAATCACAATTTTATTACAAATTTTAGTCCGAGAAAATAGTTCAAAACAATTTACATACAGATAGTTTTGTAGAGCTATCGATTCATGTAAAAATATCAAATAAAGTCTTACTCAACTTTAGTTAAACTTCTATAACTCATAACAATCACACCATTTTTGTCTTTTTTTTCGTATGCTTTCGATTCAAGAGTTATTCATTTCAAAAATATCCATACATATAGTACTCGAGCTTTGCTATCCGAAGGTAAAATTGAAATATAAATTTATGTCGTGTATTTTTGAAATGCCAATCAAAACAAAAAAGTATTGCGAGATTTTTGACGTCCACTGTATAATGCGCACTGTGAAAATAGTCATTTTTTAATTAACACTCGTAATCAAAACTATTTTTTCTTTAAATCAAAGAAATATGTCTAAGTTTGTGAACTTCAGAAAAAAATATTACATTTTTATAATAAATTCAATGATAATAAAGAAAGAAAATACATTTTCAATAAACTTCTGAAAAAAACAAAAAAATATCAATTTGTTTATTTTGAACACTTGTTTTTGGTTCTAAGGTTTAACACTTTGATCTGTTTTCTTATTATTTTCTAACCTTTATTTTGCTTTTCTTTCTTTCGTTCTATCAAGAAAATTCTTTTTCTCATATATATTTTTAACCGCGGACGATATCATTTATTTTAATCGAACAATCGAATCGTATTAGTTAGACATTAAACACTATACAAACAAAAACAAAAAACATAACAACTATGATTAAAATAATCTTAATTTATTTTTTAATAATTCCAATTGAAATAAATGGAATACGTCGTTGTATGAATACAGGTGTTCTATTTTTGGATACGATTGTACGTTCACCAATTGTAGTTTATGGTAAATCATTAGGAAAACAAATTGATATTGAAACAGATACGGAAATATTATTTAATATAACATTTCGTGTTGATTGTATATTTAAAGGAGAAAATATTGAAAATCGAATTGAAATAATTCAAACAGGTATTTTTAAATATTATTTATTTATTTATAATAATAATTAAATATAATATTTTAGGAATTAAACAAGATCGTATTGCTTGTCAACGACTTGATCCTGGAAAATTTTATATTGTTTTTCTTGAAAAATGTCAATTAAATAAAAATATTTATTGTCCAGTTGATTTTCAAGAACGTTTAGTTGATGATTTAACACTTGAATTATTAGAACGAACATGTTATTTAAAACGTATTTCACCATTAAATTCAAATTTAAATAAATGTCCAAATGTATCAATATCAAAATATTGTCCATGTAAGATTTTTTTTGATATTTATTTGAAATGTAATCTTGAAAATTTTTTTTTTTTTTTTTTTTATAGATGATGATACAATAATAAAAATAAAACCAAAAGAAAAATTTTCAGATTATATTGATACAAATATTAAATCAATTCTTCATAGTACTAATCAATTTTTTCAAGAATCAAATATTACAATAGTTAAGAAAGAAATATTAATTGAACAAATCGCAGATCATCCACATAATTATGCTCGATTGACAGTATTAAATTCTGTATGGATGATTAGTCTTGTTCTTAATACATTAATGTTTATGTAAAGTTTATGAAAAATTTTGATTTCTCTTGTTTATATAAATATTATTAAATAAATAATTTTATCAGAGAAATTAAATTTATGAAATATATTCTTTTATTTGAATAGAATTTTAAAATTCAATTTTTTAGTTCAAAATTATTTTGTATATCTTTCAGAATATTTCTTTTTAAAGCTAAAATTAAAATGATAATGATCATTATTGAATTTCATAAGTATTAGATGAATATTGTTAAAACATAATAGAAGAATTAAGATTATCGATCTTTGATTCGATTCACCGATGTGTTACTCAGCTAATTGATAGTGGTGGATCCAGGATATTTTAATATGCTGGATTTCATTTTTAGAGCATGGTACCTAGATGAAACTTATAGAGATATGATATTGGACCTAAATGATGAGTTTTTATCAAAAGACTTTTGCAGTGGGAGTTTGCGAAAAAAATTAGCATTTTCTTGAGTTCCTCAGAGTTTTTCTTTCGGTATTAGTGGTTTTCTGTTTTTTAGAATTTAATAGTAAACTACATCAAAATTTATTGATAGATTTCAAATTTCATCTAAAAATATACATCTGTTCAGGAGTTATAACATTTTGAATTTTCGCTAAAAATGTAGCAAAAACTCAAAATGTTATAACTCCTGAATAGATGCATATTTTTAGATGAATTTTGATATAGCTTACTATTAAATTCGAAAAAACAGAATACTACTAATACCGAAAGAAAAATTCTTGGGAGACTCAGGAAAATGCTAATTTTTTTCGCAAACTCCCATTGCTAAAGTTCTTTGATAAAAACTCATTATTTACATCCAATATCATATCTCTATAAGTTTCATCTGGATCCACCACTACTAATTGATTTAAATAAACTGTTAACACATAAATGAGCAAACATATGTCGAGTACTAGTAGTTGATGTATAAATAAATGTTCGATAACACAACAAATAATGCTAAAGTAATCCCAGGTCGAAAAGTACCGGCCGGTTCCGGCAGGAAAACACCAGAAAGCAACGGAACATGGAAGCAGTATTCCGGTCGGAAATTTTTCGGATTTTTTCCGGTGGATTCCAGCCAATTCCTGTTCTTTCCGGCAGGAACCCGCCGGAAAAAGTCCGAAAAATTTCCGGCCGGAATACTGCTTCCATGCTCCGTTGATTTCCGGTGTTTTCCTGCAGTATCCGGTGACCGGAACGATCGACTTGGGATAGAACAAATTTTGCACCGTTTTTCTAAATGCAAACTTTATATGATAGATTTAATTCTTCATGTGCTAAAAGAGAACCATCAATCTTAGATATGAAAATTATAGTCTCAGCTCGTTCCACTCATGCTTAGTCAGTCATCGTCCTAATATTGAAATCTATGAAAAAAATTTCAAACATTAATTTCTAGAAAATTACCAACTGTTTTCAGTGCAAAAAAAATATCTTCATGTATCCATTAAAATTGCGTTCAAAATGTTAGGAACTATTAGAATCAACTATTGTTATCTGTCATTTTGTACGTAATCTATTCTATGTCATACTTTTTGTATTGTCTAACTGCATCATGTATACTTTTTCATTCTGTCATACAGTCACATGTGCTTTTCTGTTTGTTCAACGATAAGTTCTCTGACTGTATTCTCTCATAAAAATTGTTTCTTGATGTTTGCAAATATTATCATATCCAACCTATCGTTCATACATAGTCCTTGATTTCGTTTTCCAATAAATTTAATGTATGTACACGGTGGGTTCAAAAAGTTCCCGGACTGATTTTATTTAAAAATAATAAAAAGCGTTGATGCATTTGTATTATTGTCTGTGCGTAGTTCATACAGTCCTCTATCTATAGACATCATAAGCTCTGTTGAATTAAACAAATATAGAAATACATTATAGGCTACTCTTTATACACTGACAAAAAATTAAAAACTTGAGCAAAGTTTTATGTTTTGAACGGCTAGTTGCCATTCAATATTTCTGAATATATGGTAACAGTTGACACTGGTAATGCTCTATGACATACTACGATATTTGAATAGGCTCGTCGTTTTAAAGGTGAATAACTAACTATCAATGATAGTTCTAGATATGGTCGATACATCGTTAATATCATGTCAGCGAACATGGTATTTCCAGGCACTGACTTTAGTCATGTAAAATGTTATGCACATGCAAATGCATCAGCGCTTCTCATTGTTTTTAAATAAAATCAGTTTGGGAACTTTTTGAATGCACTGTGTGTATAGAAGCTAATTACTCGTTATTGCAAAATATATTCTTTATTTATTCTTGAAATAAAATTGTTTTATATAATATTTTATCTTCTTTTTATTTCAAATCGGAAACGATCGACACACAAACATCGTTGATTTAAACAAAAAAAAAACAAACGATGGACGATTGTTCTATTATGTGTGTTATTAAAAGTTCGAGTTTTAATCGAATAAGCCGAAGCCCTAAAAAACAAAAACAAAAATAAATTTCTTGATTTATACAAAATAAAAAGATACATACCATATCTTCACCTTCATCTGAATCATCTTTTTCTGGTTTCTTTTCTTCTTTTTTAGGTGCTTCTTTACCACCAGCTGCTTTTTTATCATCAGCTACAGCAGCTGTTGTTGTTGTTGCTTGAGCTACTGGAGCTGCCATTGGAGCTGAACCAACATTTTTAATAAGATCAGTTACTTTAACACCTTCTAATGCACTTGCAAAAAGACCAGGCCAATATGATTCAATATCATAATCAGCAGCTTTTAATATAGCTGCAATTTTATCACCTTTTATATCAACATTATCATCAGCTAAAATAAGTGATGCATAGATACAAGCAAGTTCATCATTGCTTAAGGCCATTTGTAATTTTTTTTTGTGTTGTTGTTAATTGTAAAGAAGAATTTTGATCTGCAAAAAAAAAAAAAAACGAAAATGAGAATAATATTCATACAAGAGATTATCGTTAAACATATTAAACAACAAAAAAAAGCACAAAAATATTGCATAAATTTTTTTTATTTTTCGTATTGTATTGTATAGATACTGTTTAAAACAAAAAACAACTATATACAAAAAAAAAAAAAAAGAAATTCTATTCTATGTCATGAATGTTGCTGATGCTTGAGCAACATTTGATTTCGATTGTGTTGATATATTTGTTGATGTTGTTGTCAATGGACTTTGATAAAGTGTACCAGATAATATTCGTGGTTGTTGTTGATGTTCACCATCTTGTCGTATATGATTAAATTCATCTGTAAATTTTTTACGTAAATTAAGTAATGTTGTATAGCGTTGTGTTAAAACATCCTAGCAAAAGAAAAGAAGAAAGATTAACAAAAAAAAAAGCAAAAAAATCTGTTTTTTTTACTAATGTTGAACGATAACCAGGCATATAACGACAATAATAATTTTTCCATAATTTAATATGACGTGATGAATTATTTGGTATTAAAACTTTATCAGATTTTTCTGTATAAAAAGGATTTAAATATAATGAACGTTCACGTAATATAGGTGTCCATGCTGACATTGTATGTTCAGATATTTTCATATCATTACGTAATTTATCAGAATTAAGTAAAAATGTACCATATTGACATGAATATAAATTATCAGCTATTGTTATTAATAATTTTTCATTAAATTCAAATGCCGATGGAAACTTTATAATAAAGGAAAACAAAAAAAAACTGTGATTTTAATGTTAATCAAAATGATTTCGTCTTATTTCAAGATTCTCTATACGTATATCTATTTGAGATAGTCTCTGGTTTGTTTCAAAGGAAAATATAAAAAAAAGTAGATCAATTAACTATTCGAAAATCTTTTTATTTGAAGAAACTATTAAGTTAAGACAGGATCTCCTTTTCGGGATAGATAGATTTCGGTAGATTCTAAATTCTCAAATGTTTCCTTTCCATAAACATTCATATTATGGTATTTAGGGTTGAAATTTGTTCTGCAACAACTCGAAACAAATCTCTATACGTGTTTAAAATGGTAAAGAAAGTTACATTTTTTTTGTTGGCTTTTTCTTTTAAAACATTGATATATGAAATTCTTTCGAACAATCAGTTACTCATTGTATGCGTCCACACCAGACTTGGGACCGGTCAGATTCTTTTAGACCGGACCGGACCGGCCGGTCCAAATTCTTGATTTAACCGGTGCATTTCATGTATCAATTAACCAATCAGTACTTTCGAGAAACAGTCTATTACTTCAGTTTGACGAAGATATACGATGTCAAACTCATAATTCTTGAAGTTTCTAATAGTAACAGCTCGTATAATAGTTTGCCACGTTTCATGTGCTAACATCAAGAAGGAATGACCATTTCTTTCAAAAATGTTTGACTTAGAACTCAAGCAACTAATATTGAACAACATCTAACTATGTTTTGACTGACTTTTTTCTATAACGATATGAATTCTTTACAATTGATAAGTTTAATCTATTTTTATTTGAAATAATTATTTTAACACAGCTGCAAGGCATTTCAATCCGCAAAAAAAGGATGCTACTGCAGACAGAAAGATAAGGTGAGCTAAAACGTATGGCTTTCATATTAGACTTCCTATTTAAGGCTTCTTATTATCTAAGTATTTTCACAATTACATGATGGCAGTAGTCCACAAGATCTTGACAACAGAACTTAATCCTTTCTTATATTTTGTTATGAAAGCATGAACTGAAAACTACTACCTATTGGGATTCTATGAGAGTGGAGTAAAATTAGTCCAGAAAAGTGAACTCAAAATTTCGAAGTGAAAAATCTATAGTTTAGACCGATATTAGCTTCTAATATCTGACTTATTTTTCGTGAACATAAACAAATTCATTCAACATGCTCCGAGGTCCTCACCCTAGGATGGGAAAGTGTTAGCCAATATTTAGAGTTGGGATTTCGACAATGATTGAAAATTTATCAGTTGGAAACTTCCAAGCTCATATCCCTTGATCATTGAAATCATAGAAACCGTTAAAAATGAGCAAAATATGCAAGTTGTAGTGCCCCAAAAATTTTTAAAAGTTAAAAAAAACGGTAAAAACCGGCCGGTCCGGTACCGGTTCCAAGTATGGTCCACACTCTTAAGCTGAAATTCACATGTGTCATAGCGAAGTTTTTCTTATAGAAAATTGATTCTTGTTTTTAGATTTTAATAAATGAGAGAATCATTATTCCAAATGATAAATTTCTTTTACCTGTTGTAATAATTGAAATGTACAATCAAGAAATTGAAGAAAAACTGGCGATCGTTCTGAATCACTTTTATCTCCATGACCAATACGCTAAACAAACATTTTTTTTTTAATAAAATCTAATTTTTTTGTTTTTATCTTACTAAAAAAAATTTATGACCAAAACTAATCCATTCTTTTTCTATTAAAATCATATAACCATTTAATGTTCTATAATGTCCATCAAGCATTAACATTGCTAATGATGTTAACTAGATAAAATATAAAATAATTAAGTTAAAATAAAAAAATAAAAAAAAAAACTTTTACTTGTGCCGTTCGATCCCATCCATCTGAACAATGAACTAATACTGAACGTTTTTCATTATGAACTAATGATACTAATCGAATAGCAGCAGTTAAAACAGCCTAACAAAAAACATTTTTTTTATATAAAAAATTTCTTTTTTTTTCTATACTCGAATATGAAATAACCAATTTGAATTTTCTAAATCACTAAACCATGTTTTATCTTCATGTGCAGCATTACGTACAGCAGCATGTAATTTTCTTAAGCTAAAACAAAAAAAAAATTCTTCATTTCTTTTTTTATTTTTTTGTTTCTATTAACCTTTCTCTCATAACATGAATATTTTGTATATTATGAAATTCAAGTTCACAATTAGGATAATCTTCATAACCACCACCATTAGCCATATTTGCCATTGCATTTACTTTTGGACGTGCATCAAGTATAACTAATTTAAAACCTTGATTAACATTAGCATCAGCTATTTTACGTAATAATTCAATATCATCATCACATGTTCGATTAGCTAAACCAGTTAATGGTTGACTTGATCGTGTTATAGTTGCATATGTTTCACGTGAATACCAACTAAGAACCTATAAGATTTAATAACAAAAAACAAAAACAAAAACAATGAAAATTATATTATACCGGAATACGATTTCGACTACGAAAATCAGCAACACGTTGTAATCTTGATGTATCAAAACTGGACGGAAGAACAAGTATATCTGGATATGTATCGCATAATGCATAATTTTTATTTATTTCAGCATTGATTGTCCAATGTGGATCAGAATTTTGTTGAATACCCTTTTATAAACAAAATAAATTAAAATAAAGTTTCTTGATATTGTTTTTTGTTTCTTGCATGAACAAAAAAAAACTTAATTTCGAATCAAGGTAATTAAAATGACAAATAGGACAAAAAAATTGCAAAAGGTACATCTCTACTCACTGTAAGCTATGAATTTAATGATATAGAGAATAATAAATAAATGAAAAGTATAAATTTTACTCATAGAACTTACCATTCTTGTATAATCTTTCATTTTATTGTATAATAACCAACCGTCATCAATTGTATTTGAACAAACTTTTTTCTTATAATCGAAAGCAAAGAATGACTAAAACAAAATAAATAAAAATGAATTGAGAACACGTACATTATGAAATAGCTCAGATCACTTTAGCTTATTACTGTCGAAGTAGTACAATTTTACACTAATTTTTAAATAAATGCTTTAATCGTACTGAGGAAAATTGATTTTTCGACCTAAAAATTTGCATTAAGATAGCCTGTATGTTTTTTATATGGTCAATTTTTCTATTCCACAAAAGAAACAAATCAAGAAATTGAAACTTTCACAATAAACTATTCTCATTAAGATCTATCTGCCAACCGAAATTCACTTTTTCTAGTACTACGGCATTATTGCAAATCTGCTGTAAACTGATAGACCGAAATCTTGTTTCATTATACTCAAAACTCATTTGAGTCTAAATGATACTCATCATCTCAATATAGAAAACAATTAAGCAATTCGGTTCATTAGAGAACACTCATTTACATTATAAACCTTAAGTTTTAAATATTCACGCTTTGATTAATTCATTCGACACTACAGACATTTAGTCTTTTTTTTTTTCTGACAGGAACACATATGAGCGTTCTAAATGATCTATTCACTATGAATAAAACATTGTATATGAAAAAAAAAATTTGTAAAATCTTATTGATTATTTTTAAAACAAACAATGATAAATATTACAAATATAATTCGATGACTTTTGTTTTTTTTTTTTTTTCAATTTAATTTAAAACTTAAATTTGAAATCTTACATTAAAAAATTGTAAGGGATTTGTAATATCTGCTTTACTAATTGAAAATGGAAAAACAAGACGTGTTAAATGATCAAGTAAATTTCGTCGTTGATTTTGTTCTTTTGCATTACCAAAAAAAAAATGACGTAAATCCTTTAATTAATAAATATAAATAAATATTTTTTTTTTTAAAATAAAAAGTATTTTCTTTACTTTGCAATTTATTTCTATTCCATATGCAGCATTATCACTCATATTACTTCTTGTTTGTCCACCAATTTTTTCTATCTGACTTATCATACCTAATGGTACATCAACAAGTACCTAAAAAAATAGAATAATAATTTAAAAATAAAACAAAATTATTTTTCATACTTGAATAGCATCTGGTGGTTTTGTAACAAATATTAAACGATATTTTGTTACAATTAATTCACCACGATATGGTACTGATCGATTATGTGTACGATAAGTTATATCTAAAAATTTTATTTTATTTTCATCAAAGATAAAGTATATTGATTAATAACCTTCTCTTAATTTTACATCATCTTCTCCTGGAAGAAGTTTTATTGGTAATGATAATTCATATGTATGAGCAACAGTTGGTTGTTGATCTGATAAAGCTATAGCTTGTTGTCGATCGGACATATATCCTCTTGTTGAACCCTTTCAGAAAGAAACAAAACATATAAAATTTAAAAAAAATATTAAAATAACTTACTGCTACAGCTGATGATGCATTTTGATATGATGATAATGCAACATATTCATTTGATGATGACATCGATGAACCATCATCTCGTGCACCAAAACTCATTTCACCGGCACCATGAGATGTTGGTTTAGCATGAATTAATGTAGCCATTGGACGGAGACGAATATCATCGTCACTATTTGAACGTGTCATTTTTTTCATCGGATCACGATAAACATCGCGAGACATATCGCGATGATTAATATTTTACAATAATTACAACAACAACAAAAAAATCTATCGACGATTGTAGAAAATATGGAGAAGAATTCAAAATGCAAAAAAAAAACTTGTAAATAAACATATGTAATTTATGGATGGAGGAATGATTGGAATGAAAATTTGAAAAATAATTTTCATATTGAATAGTTATTGAAATTTTTCAATGAAAAATATGAATTATTTTATATGACTTTAGGAAATAAAATTTTTTTGTTTTATTAATCTACCAAAAGATGTCACTGATTTATGAGCTGCTTTTTTCCGAAATACGAGAATGTGTACGGAAAGAATATAAATATATTATTAACGTGAAGTCTATGTTAGCTGAGCGGACCTATATCACATACAAGTCTAAATGCTTACGTGTGACAATAACTCTGATCACAAGTATTGGATTTACGCTCGATATGTCTACTTTATGATCGTCAAAGTCAATTACATATGGCTCTTTCGTGATCGACAGACCATGGAAAGCACAGTCAATAATGGTCATCATTAATTATCTGTTCATCCTAGGGAAGAAAGCTAGAATATTCATCATTATAAACAAATGTATTCTAGCAAGAACAGAAAAATTTTCAAGGTCTAGAATGTATTGTGGCAGTATGATGGTATGATCCGCCATGTCAGGAGCTATGTAGTCACTTTGTATCATAACACAGAGATGTCCATCGCGGCAGCGGCAGGATTTTTTTTGGAGGACATTGAAAAACTGTATGAATTTAATAGAATTTCAGGATTTACAAATGAAACGCCCTGATATTGAATAAATCTGATGGACTAGTACCCATATCTCTGGTCAAATATAGTCACAGCAGTGAAATTAGAAACACTTTTTTGAAAACCGTCGCGGTGGCGGCACGTTTATTTTATAATTCATCGCGGCAGCATTTCTTTTATAAGTCATCGCGGTGCGGCAGCGTCGCGGCAACATTTTTTTATAAACCGTCGCGGCGCGGCAGCTTTTTGTTTCTAAGGCCGCGGCGCGGCAGCGGCAGATTTTCAGCCGCGATGGAAATCTCTGTCATAACAGTACAAGAATTTGTAATGTGACGGATGACCCATGTTGAATTTCTACCTATTTAAATGATACGGATTAAACAGTTACGTAGATATGGTTCTTTTTTCTTCTTCATTGGTTAGAACAGGAGCCAGTATTCCTCGACATCTATCAATCCCATTGGCTATTCATGCCATAGCTTGTAGTACTGATGATAGCGGTGAATTTTCAGACTACCATTGAAACTAGTCAATAAATATTAAGATCCTACAAAAAAATGAAACATCGTTACTGAATACATCCATTTCGAGAGTATAATCAAATATAAGTTTCTTTCTTGATAAGACTAACTAATCTATCACAGTGAGCAATCGAACAAATCTGAATGAAAAAATTCTTTTCAGAAGTTCGAATGTTAGAATAAGTACACTTCTGTTTTTATCTATCTTGTCTTAAAATAAAATTTGCAAAAAAATATGTAGAAAATCTCATTTAAACAAATTTACTTTAAAATTACTTTTGTTAGACGCTCACAAATAGAACGGCATAAAAACGAAATAGAGATACGTTAAAAATAGTTTTGTACTTTTTGTACATTTCACAATCGCGACACAAAATATCGAGTACGATATCTCTTTTGTTCAACACGTATTAAAACAATAATTTTATTCTCTCGAACTGTATACAATGTGTGTTTTGTCAAACGTCCATAAACGAAATGATATTAAGGAAAGAAGAAATTTTTGATCTTTTCATTGATTTATTGAAGAAATCCTATAAATTAACTAAAATACTAATAGAAACAGTTTATGAGATTCATTTAAAAGCTAAAAGTTTAAATTTATTAACTTCTAGAATTATACAAAAAAGTCAAACAATTTAGTAAAACGACATTATTGGTTACGATTCAAGATATTTGGAAGAATCTTCATCAAATGTGGTATAGGAGAGTACATTTCATTTTTAAATAAAGATTTTTTTTAATTCTTCATACTTTTTTTTTCTAATGAAAAAATAAAGTTTCTGTTCTCTTAGCTGATATATTTGTTATTCTCTTAACATCATATTTTTGTTGATTCACAGAAATTCTCCAAGGTGCCAATTAAAAGATCAAACATTTCTTTTATGAACACCTGACAAAAATAAAGAGATATCTAGTTCGATATTTTATGTTATTACTTTTACATCTTATATTATCTTCATTGATATAGATGTGATCAACAATGGAACTGATAATGGTACCGAGCATGAAAAATTCAACGGATATTTGTTTTGTTTTTGCATGCAGATAATCTTAAAATTGGAGATTAATAGAGTAATCGCTGTTCCTTAACTCTTAGAAAACCTTTTATTAAAATCAGAATTAATCATCTATTAGAACAATCATGAATGTTCTTCTATTTTGAAATATTAACTGATTTTATGATAATTAGATATGCTTTATTTATTATATTTTTCCTAATCCAAATAAATTTATAATAAAATAAACTATGTTTTTTTTTAAGTGTCATCAAAAATAAAAATTATAGTATTTGTACAAATTCTTTACGATGAAAATTTCTTGAAGCATCATTGGATTGGATAGAAGTAGTTGTCGATAAAGTTCGTTTTCTTGGCAAGTTTAGCAATGAAGATTGAGTTATTGTCTTATGATAATGTAAAGGTTTTTGAGGTTCTAAATTAAATCGAACTTTTTTCACAGGTGATCGAGTATGTTGATGTTTAATTTGACGATGAGATCCATTTGATTGATGAAAACGTGGTAGAACATCGTAGCCAGCTTCTATTCGTGCATTGTCTACAGCTTCGAAAAAGCTTTGTGGTAATTGATATACAAATTTGGGAAGCGATGATTCTGATCGAACTTCTTCTTTTATCGGTGGTGGTTTGACTGTGAGTCGTACTAAACGATTTAGGAGACTATATTTGCGTTCTTTACCTGTCGACATTCTTCATGTTGTCATTATGTTTTTACAAATATTTAAACGAGTTCAGCGAAGCGAGAAAAGAAAAACAACGTTTTTTTTTTATCAAATGGACAATTTTGTCATGACTTTCTATATGAGTCATAAAGATATTAACTCTATTAAAGTATCCAAACATATTTAACCAAGAAAAACTTTGAAAAAAAAACTGATGACTAAAAACTGTTACAGTCCTTAGTCTTTAATCTATAACAACAGTTTTTTAGCATTATTTATAAAAATTTAAACTGCTTTTGACAACATCGATGAAAAATTATTATTGTTGAAATACATACATCGAATGTCTCAAAATATTTTTGTAACATCTGTTATTTTACATATATCTCAGCATAGATAAATTATAAAAATTTTGAGTTTTATTGTGTTAAAAAGATGTGATGTTGATAATTGTATTGCCTTTCTCTCATAATTTTCTTTTTTAAATGATTGGTATAATTTGTGTTGAGAACATCAAATCATATTGTCATCCATATGTATCTTCTGCTCACTCACCTTAATGAAACTAAACAGATACATCTTTATATATGTATAACTAGACGAAAAAATAGAAGAAAGAAAAGAGAAGAGAAAACGAACAAGAAGAAGAGAGATATTTTGGACAATATGATTTAGTCTTATCAACACAGGTCATAACAACCATTTAGAAAAAAAAAATCAAGATTTTATGAATTATCTCTGCTAAGATATATGCAAAGTAAAGTGTATTGCAAATATTTTGAGACACGCCGTAGTACAAGGAATAAAAATAATCATACCATGTTTTACGTGATTGAAAAAGAGATTGATCTTGTTACTATTTTGAAATATTATTATCTATTTTCATATTTTTTCAGCGATCTAGATTTCATTTCATACTAAGTAAATATAACTGTTCTAGACGACAAAATTCTAGTAATCTAACTTATATTAATTGTTTACTGTTTTATCAAAAATAAAATTGGTAAGCAAAGTGTCTTATTATCATTTTATTTGCATTATTCAAACGATGGTTATCTTTGAAATTAAATATAAAGATATCATTTAAAAATAGGTGTGTAACTAAAGAGAAGATAATTATCGTATAAAAACCAACCTTTCTTCACTTGATATTTATCTCTAAACATGCATGTCTGGTTATTGTTACTTGTATGTGTTTTAACCACAACAGCTCAAGATTTGATTACATTTGGGATTGGACTTTCAAGTCAACAGCTTTATCCAACCGAGGTTATTATAAAATTCATAGAAATTTATATAGGTTACTAAGATTTCTACATATTTTAGACTGAAATTTTAAATCATACACTTGCTCCTGATTCAAAATTTGGTGTTCTTACTCATTTTTGGACAACTGGTGATCCAGGTGAGTGATGACCTTTTTGTTTGTGATTGTTGATAATTAGTTTTTTTTTTAGCTATTGATCAATCTACTTTTTCGTATTATATCGATGGAGAAAGTGTACCATCAATTCAATTCGTAACTTATATGTTGGCCGGAGCTGGATTTAATGATCAAACTGCACCTTGGGGAACGAAATGGATTGGTAAAGGAGCACAACTAGGTGGTTGGTATAATAATTTGTAAGTTTATAAAAAACACGAATTTTCGTGTTTTTTTATTATTTGAACTATGTTCTCGAATTTTAGTCGAGTTCCATTTCAAAAATCAATTCGAGTTACTGGTAAATTACCGTCAACAGCTACAGGTTCAAAAATTATTTGGATAATTGTACGTGGAACAGAAAATTTACCAACATCTTTTCATGGTTTTCAACTACCACCATATGCTCGTTTAACTTTACATAAAATTGAAAATCAAACATATGATCCATTAGCATGGATACGTGTTGCTGATATACCAACAGGTCATGGTTTACTTCTTTCACATACATTAGCTGTTAGTAGTGGTAATTTAAATTTCTTAGAAGGTTGTTATCATGCATATACTCAATATGAACAACAATTTCCAGGTTTAATTGTTTCTACAGGAACAGAAGATTATTTTGATAGTGCTTTTTATTTTAATGCTGGACAATTTCATTTTGAAGTTTCGGGTTATTCACATTTTCGACAAGTATCAAATTATACACTTGAATGGTCAGCTTATCGTATGCATGATTTAGATCCAATCTTTTTTACAAATGGTTTTCGTTTTGAATGGAGAAATGGTGATGTTGTTGATGATCGTGGTTTTAAATGTATTGTTGATCAAGGTGGACATATTGTTGGATCACCTACACAATCAAATGTAACATCATATGCATGGGTTTATATTTGGTAGAATTAGAACTTACATTTTTTTTTTCTAATAGAAATTATGATTTAAATGAATTATCTTTTGATTGATTCATAAAATAAAATTGAAGAAAAATAAAATGAAAAATAAACGCTCCTGGGTGGGCTCGAACCACCAGCCTTCCGGTTAACAGCCGAACGCGCTAACCAATTGCGCCACAAGAGCACGTCGAAATTGGATGAATTATTTCACGTTAAACTTATCTCAAGGTTTTCATCTTCTAAAAAATTATATCATTTAAAAGTCCTTCAAATTTTTTTAAAAAACCTTAACTGAAAGAAAAAAATGTATAGCTAATATGCAATCATAGGACATGATACTTATTTCATCGTACATGTAAAGATGTATCATTCAATCATGCGTGTTACTATAAAAATAAAAAAAGATCATTTACAAAGAGATATGCGACCTATTGTTGAACAGAGACTGTTTATAAAGAAAAGAAAAAAAAAGTACGCTCCTGGGTGGGCTCGAACCACCAGCCTTCCGGTTAACAGCCGAACGCGCTAACCAATTGCGCCACAAGAGCATGTTAGTTTCATTCGATAAAAACCTATTAGCCTTGAGTGGCTTTAAAAGAATCGTAGGGATTAAATATACTAACACTTTTTTTTCTTGTAATAATTATTTCTTAAAACACATTGATATGATACAACATGAAAATTAATTTATTGATGAAAATCAATAAGTAGCTCAGAAGAATGTCATGTAGATATAAAAGTTACTAAAATAATAAATAATAAAACGAAAAGATCAATATGTTCAACTAAATGTTTATTTCCTTGTGCACATCGAACAGCAATATTTGCAAAATTACATTCAATTGAATCAAGTATAAAAAAAAAGCAAAGAATTTTTTTACTTAATCAGAAATTCATACTACAACGTAATGAAATATATCAATGACATTTACAAAAAGAAGCTATATGACTTTTTTCACCATATAGACACTTTATTAAAATTTTAATGGAAATCATCTTAGTCATCGAATTGATAGAGCGGAATTTGAATCACTCTTGAGTTCAAATGCAACTTAAATGCGCAATCAAAGGGTCTGCCTGAGTGAGTGTGTATGAACAATGTGAAAGATACACTTTTACAATAACCTATTCTCGTTACTGACTTAAAAAGTATCGCAAACATTCAATATCTCCGCGACAATAAGCTAAGAATCTGCACGATGTACATAGTTTCAATCCAGAAGTGATTAATTACTTGAGAGTTTCTGAATTAGTTTGAAACAGAATTTTGAATAAAACTAGACTATTCAGGTATCGCACAAATTGTTCATATCGTTCGAATGGATAAAGTTCATGACATCCGAGCATTTCAAACTCAGTTGTTATTTAGAATACTGCAGAATAATGACTTCGTATGGGCTATATTCATAGGACGGATATGCACTGATCGTCATACTTCACTTTTATTAAACTTTCTTAATATATATTTAAAATTTCATGCAAGCAAGTTACATACAATGAGATAAATAAGAAGAAACTTTGAAAAACTGCTCACTATAAACATATGGCTTTTGAAATTTTCGAAGGGCGACTACAAGGTTTTGACTACGGAACGTGATATATCTAGGCTTGTAAAGAAAGATTTCTTCGATCAAATGATCTATAGATTATGAAGTTCTATTGCGTAACTCCAAACAACTAACACACAACGCAAACACCAAACTGTCCATCTCTCTAAATTCCTTAACGCAAGAAAAAGCATTTACTTAAAAAAAAAGGATCGTGAGATCCACTAAAAATACTTGCACTACTTCCTAAATGCCAAAGATTCATAGAGCTAGTTAGGTTGTTCAAGAAAATAATGATTACGCCTTCAAAGGCTTCCTCTACCACCCGCAAAAAATTCGCATAAATTATAATTAGTATTACTAATACCAGCATAACCAATAAAAAAATTGTGTCGACTTGAGGATATAGACATGGGGTGTAAGATGTGAGAGTGAGCAGATGGGGAACTCTGAGGGCGTCTAGTCAACAAGACATCTACACGTCGACATAGGAGAAACCCAAAATTTTCTGAGCTGAATTAATTTCAGTATTTAAAAACAAATCTTTCAGAAACAGCCTCCTCACTAATAATCTATTGCTTCTTTTTTTTGTTAAATAACGATTCATCAAATAAATATATCAAAAATAGAAATAAATGCTCACATTTCATAAAAAGACAAACAAAAATCTAATCTACTACACAGTTTTTGCTGTCTAAATACATAGAATCTTAATGAGCAGAAAACAGTAAAAAACAAAAGATGAATGTCAATACCGATAGCACTTGAAAATCACAAACAACTTCCTCATAAAAAGAACAATTTGCTCATAGAGAATAAACTTGAATTATTTCAACAACGTATTCGGCTGATACATTCAGTTCATTTCTTATTTTGAAATACTTTAAAAAAAGATAACCTTGAAAATTTCACCGAAACTTTTAGACAAAAAACAAGGAGAACATTCCAAGTAAATGTCTGAAAATTGAGGGATGTTTTACCTGCTCTCATTTCCTGGATGCCCTTTGTAGATGACCATAATAAAATTATGAAAATAAATTATTCTTAATTCAGTTTCTAATTAAATGTCAATAAATCATTAAATTTGTTTATGTTCACCAGCCTTGTGATCAAATTCATAATCAATATGGATAAAAATACGCTCAATTTTGAGCACTGATC